TTGGAATGCGATTTTAGGTTTATACGAATCTATAAACCGAGAGAATCGCCAACGACTTTTATGAGCTCAATTGTTTGGAGATATTAAAGTCATCAAACTGCCTTTGAAGGGACACTTCCTGTTCTCACTTTTTTATTGGTTTTTGTCCGCAACTTTTGAATTATAATCTGACATACTCCCGAGTGTAGGAAATCATAATCAATAATTGATTCACGCTTCTTTGATCTTTATTTTTCTCATGACTATTCGGTGATAACACCATTATAATGGTAATTAAATTTCTCATAGTTCATTCCCGAGTTCGATAATAACTCGTTTTAATTTCCTAGATATTATGTCCAATATTTTTTCTGCAAACGAGATCAACTAAGATATTTGTTTCTTATTTCTTTCGGGGCTATTTGGTGATAACTGAGATAACCTATTCACTTAGGAATCAGTGGAAACGATTTGCTTCTTTGATGGCCAATTGTCTTTAATTTCGTATGATAAACAACAATGTGATTCGGTAACAAGTGACGTTCGGCCTTAAAATTATGACAGTGTTCGCTGATTTCCATCGATTTCCAGTGATTTTTATTTGCGATGTCCAGCTGATTTCCACATGATTTGTAGCTTTAAAATCCACGATTTCCTTCATTTGAGAACCAATTGCCACTAATTTCATATTATAGACAACAATGTGATTCGGTAACAAGTGACGTTCGGCCTGAAAATTGTGACAGTGTTCGGTGATTTCAAACGATATCGTGATTGCTGTTTGCGATGTCCAGCTGATTTCCACATGTCTTGAAGCGTTAAAATCCATAATTGCCTTTGATTTCATATGATAAACAACAATGCAATTCGGTAGCAAGGGACATTCGGCCTGAAAATTGTGACCGTGTTCGGTGATTTCCAACGATATCGTGATTTCTATTTGCAATGTCCAGCTGATTTCCACATCGCTTCAAGCGTTAAAATCCACAATTGCCTTTGATTTCACATGATAAACAACAATGCAATTCGGTACCAAGGGACATTCGGCCTGAAATTGTGACAGTGTTCGGTGATTTTCAGCGATATCGTGATTGCTGTTTGCGATGTCCAGCTGATTTCCACATGTCTTCAAGCATTAAAATCCACAATTGCCTTTGATTTCATATGATAAACAACAATGCAATTCGGTAGGAAAGGACATTCGGCCTGAAAATTGTGACGGTGTTCTGTGATTTCCAACGATATCGTGATTGCTGTTTGCGATGTCCAGCTGATCTCCACATGTCTTGAAGCGTTAAAATCCATAATTGCCTTTGACTTCATATGATAAACAACAATGCAATTCGGTAGCAAGAGACGTTCAGCCTGAAAATTGTGACAGTGTTCGGTGATTTCCAGCGATATCGTGATTTCTATTTGCAATGTCCAGCTGACTTCCACATGTCTTCAAGCGTTAATATCCACAATTGCCTTTGATTTCATATGATAAACAACAATGCAATTCGGTAGCAAGAGACGTTCGGCCTGCAAATTGTGACAGTGTTCGGTGATTTCCAGCGATATCGTGATTGCTGTTTGCGATGTCCAGCTGATTTCCATATGTCTTGAAGCGTTAAAATCCATGATTTCCCGAGTGAATACCCTCGGCGATAACGACATAATAATGACGAAAAAATTTCTCGCGATTCATCCCAGAGTTCGATAACAACTCGCTTTAATTTCCTGGATATTATGTCGAATACTTTTTTTTCCTGCAATCGGGATCACCCGAATATGGGTCAGGACAGGAGCACGAGGGAAATGTCCGACTCGGCGACCACTGGTCATCAACACAGATGCGCAGAGAAGTGCAATGATTCCCATTTATCGCCCCGTAGATGCACAACGAATTCCGCAACCGGCCCACTCGACCCGTTCCCCGGGTTTTCTATTTCCCCTCCGCGGATCATTTCCCAAAAAAGAAAGTGGGTCGGCGGATCATTATCTCAGAAGTGTCATCGAAAAGCTGAAAGACGCGGAAGTGCGCAATGACCTTCGCGGTACTTCACAGAGAAACGACGCACAATTGCTACCTTCTTTTTTTTTCTTTGCCGGGGCGAAAATGAACGGACTGTAAGACAGAAGTTCAAGACAATGCAGCCGTGATGCACCCTCGAGAAATAAGTGATAAAAGACTCAACAAGTATACTACGTTACCCCTAACGACTCTTACGTAGAAGAAATAAGTGTTGCCGAGCTTAAGGTGATGTGAAGTGGCATCTGAGAAATCAGTCGTTCATGAAACTTTTCTCCGAGCTGGGAGTACCGAATCGATTCGTACTTTACAGTATAAAAATGGAGGGTTTAAGGAAGGTCCTGGAAGTCATGAAATTTCAATTTTTTTTTTTATATTTTTGTAGGGGGTATTTTGAAAGTTTGTTATAAAAAGGAAGTAAATTTCTCGTTCATGAAACTTTTTTCCGAGCTGGGGGTACTGAATCGATTCGTACTTTACAATATCAGAATGGAGGGTATAAGGAAGGTCCTGAAACTCATGAAATGTCAATTTGTTTAAATACTTTTTCAGGGGGTATTTTTAAAATTTGTTATAAAAAGAAAATAAAATTTCTCGAAGGTTAGGACCTTCCTTATAGCCTTCACATTCACTTTGTACAGAGTGAAACGATTCCCCACACCGAGTTCGGAGAAAATTTTCATGAACGATTGACGTTTCAGATGTCACTTTCACATCCCCTTAACTGGCATCTGATGTACCAATCGTTCATGAAACTTTTCTCCGAATTGGGTGTACCGAATCGTTTCAAACTGTAGGACATGAGTATGGAGGCTGTAAGAAAGGTCTTGGCCCTCATGAAATTTCATTTTTTATAAAAAAATTAAAAATGTATATAAACAAGTTTTTGAAAAATTGAAATTTCACGGGTGTCAGGACCTATCTTATAATCTCTATGTTAACATTAAAATGTTTGAAACGATTCGGTACACCCAGTTCAGAGAAAAGTTTCATGAACCATCGAATCCTCGGATGCCACTTTCACATCCCCTTAACTCTTTGAGGCACGGTGATATTAAAAGTGTCCCACCTTCTTAATGCGTGAATTAAAGGTGGTTTAGAAGGAAATAAAATTTCTGTGCAACACGGGCCTTTTTATTTCCTAAAATTCCGTAGCTCAAAGGGTTAAAGCAGAATCGAGCAAAAGACTAACTCACGTCTCAAGCGCTTTCCTTCATTAACTCTCGAAAATCCTGGAGGCCATTTTCGATTCTAATGTAATATCGAACATCGAAAGTCGTAAAGGCTTTCACGAATACCTCGCTTGATATCGACGCATAATTGTTCCCCCCTTTTTTTTTCGCGGGGACGAAATTAAGGGGACAGGAAAACAGGAGTCCAAGACAATGAAGTCACGATGCCGCCTCGAGAACTGAGTGATAAAAGACTCAACAAGTAAACTACGTTACCCTTAACGACGCTTACGTAGAAGGCATAAGTGCTCTCGAGTTTAAAGTAGAAACGAGCAAAAGGCTAACTCACGTCTCGAGCACTTTCCTACATTTCACTTCTACATTTACCGCAGAGGAAGAAAGTCGTCTTCTCTGATAAGGATTGTTGAACAATCGGCCGAACGAGGATCCCTGGAAAGTCCTGGACGCCATCTTCGATTCGGATGTGATACCGAACATCGAAAGTCATAAAAGCTTTCACGGATACGTTTTACGGTGACCGTAAACATAACGACAAGAACTGGCCAATCGAATTGCAGAGACTTCAATATGTCGTCCTGTTTCTACAATTTCATTTGGTAACTCTTTGTTTAAAAGAGATATGTCCCTGAAGGCATTAAGGGGGTTAGTGGGTTGTGAAATGCGTCCTAATCAAGGTTGGATTGGAAGAGAATGAAAACGTGTGGGAGGAAATGATACGGGCGGGTTTTATTTCATGTTTTACGGGGAATTTCAGATTAAAAGGTTTGGAAATGTTTCGAAACGCCGGACTTAGGTCGGATGGAGATTTTTTATTATTATTCCTAATGTACGTCGTTCCAGGAGCACGGAAAGTGTGGGGCAAATTGTTAAGGTGGGCTCTGAAACTGGAGAAGATTGTTTAATAACTAGTGGCACGAGTTTTCGATGCAAAAGAAATTCAGATGCTAGCAAAAAGAAATCAATGGAAACCCATTGTTCATTGTTATTTGCACTTTGATCGTTGATATTTCTGTACCAAGTTCGTCGAAAACCCATCTCATCTTTTCTTAAATAGTCTTTTCCAGTTTCTAAAAACACCCTAACTTTTCCTTTCGTACCGATCGTTCTCCCCGAATCACGGACAGCCTGAAAACGAAAATAAAAAATCGTCAGCCCCCACAATTTCGCCATTTTGAGACATTTTCAACCTTCTTTTACCTTAAATTCTGCGTAAAGCATCGACTAAAATAGTCCCCTAACATTTCCTCCTCCTTTTCGTTCCTTTTTGGACCCACTTTGATCAAGATGCACCTCCCAACCTACTAACCCCCTTAAGGTCCATACAGATTTTTTGCGTAAGAGTAATGTAGTAAGTAATGATCAAATGAAAATACCGAAAAGAACTGTAGATTCCACTACAAAGAAGCCAATAGAAATCATTTTCACATCTTTTCTCTATAATCAGTGACAGAATTCGCCCTGAAGAGAAACTAAAAAATCTTCAGCATCCCCAAGCCCGGCATTTTGAGGCGTTTAAAACTTCTTTTATTTTAAATTCTACGTAAAGATACGATTAAAACAGTCCTGTATTATTTCCTCCTCCTTTTCGTTCCCTTTTGGACCCACTTTGATCAAGATCCACCTCCCAACCTACTAACCCCCTTAACTCTCGAGCCCGGAACCGAAGATAAATTCTCGGAAAAATGGAAATAATCGACGGATAAATTTCCAATATTTTTCTTCTGATGAACATAGACGTCTTCTTGATGTGCGGTTACTTGACTTCCATAAACAGTGTTCATTTGTTACGTGTAATGGTGTTTGGGGGTACTCACTTCGCTGCGTCTCCTGCCTTGGCGGTCCACGACCCACGTGGCTTTGGAGCTGTCAAATCCCGATGACGTTTCCAGTCACACGGATCTCCGACAGGTCATCGAGTTTTCGGAAAATGGCAGAACAAGTGGATTACTTGGAGATGCACACCAGAGGTCGTTTCGACGGGGTGATGGTCCCGCGAATACTGAGTCTCGCGAGGTCCGTACCCTGGTCGATAAACCGCCCTCTTTCCGCCCACCTGGGTGTAAAGGTGTCCCCACAACCGTGTTCCGGCATCCCTCCACCCCTGCCTCACCTAGTCTAAGAAAACAATGAACATCTTAATGAAATACGCGATTCTACGTGGACAAAATTAGGATCTTCGGCGGAACTCGTTTATGGGGTCTTTCGATTCTCTTTGGGGTTTCTTTCTCGTGGTTTTTAGGAGGGATAAGACTTATCGGTCGAGCTCCGGGAAGGAAGGCTGCTGCACCTGTTTTATCGACGTCTGGAACTACCCCTGAAGAAGCACGATTCTTCAATGGTATATACGAAACCGAGCTTTCCTGACCCACCGCAATAGTGCTTATAGCTGGCGAGCTCGAAATAACTACCAATCCTGGATCGCATTCCTACTTATATAGGCGATCGAATATCAGGGAAGGAACGCTTCTAAGTGCGCACTTTGCGGGAAATCTCTTTCTTATTGTCAACGACGATAACGGATAGTGGGTCGATTTCAAACGGGAAAGATGATAAAACAGAAGAAAGGTGCTTATGAAGTTTTAGGCTCTCGGGAAAACTTCATTTCATCATTTACAATAGTGTTTAATGTCAAACGATAGGATCACATCTTATTTGAGCATTCTGTAGCAATATGTCTGTTTATGATGACTCGTTGATTACACGTATCTTACACGAATTTAAACAGGAAAGATGATAAAACAGGGGAAAGGTGCTTATGAAGTTTTGGGCTCTCGGGGAAACTTCATTTCATCATTTACAATAGTGTTTAATGTCAAACGATAGGATCACATCTTATTTTAGCATTCTGTAGCAATATGTCTCTTTATGCTGGCTTGTTGATTATACGTATTTTACACAATTTCAAATGGGAAAGATGATAAAACAGGGGAAAGGTGCTTATGAATGTTTAGGCTCTCGGGGAAATTTCATTCGATCATTTAAAATAGTGTTTAGTGATAAATGATCATAGATTTGTGCGCGAATAGCAAAAACGATATTCTGAATGAATTCATTTCGATTATAATTTTAAATAGGCTTTAAATGAAAAAAATTTACTTTTACATTACTTTGTATTAGGTAGATATACCCCTCCCTCCCTTATACTCCAAAATGAAAATCAGTTAAATGATCATACATTTTTGCGCGAATAGCAAAAACGATATTCTGAATGAATTCATTTCGATTATAATTTTAAATAGGCTTTAAATGAAAAAAATTTACTTTTACATTATTTTGTATTAGGTAGATATACCCCTCCCTCCCTTATACTCCAAAATGAAAATCAGTTAAATGATCATACATTTTTGCGCGACTAGCAAAAACGATATTCTGAATGAATTCATTTCGATTATAATTTTAAATAGGCTTTAAATGAAACAAATTTACCTTTACATTATTTTGTATTAGGTAGATACATCCCTCCCTCAATTTACGCGCTATTTGTTTTCCCTTTTTAAGGTAAATTACAACAAAATTTACACGGTTATTTATTTTAATTATTTCGTTGCTAAGCTCTTTGAAACAAATATATATTTCTAAAACTTATATGTACTGGCTTCTATTTTCAATATTCGTTTCTTTTGTACCGACAGACTTTATTTACGCGATTTTCATTCGCGGAAAACGAATCCACATGAGACGGATATTCTGCGTAAATTGAGGGACGGGTGTTATTTATTATTTTTAATAATCTCACGCATTGTAAACGGTAAAAGATGTACAGGTCGAAGGACTAGGCATGTGTTGTTAGTGAAAACGTTTTATTAAACTCTGAAAGTTACAATAGCGGTAGAGTTTGTTTTACGGTAGAATCACATACAGGATTACAATATGCTGTATTCGACGATGTCAGACTGTCGTCTTACGATATCAACTCCTTCTGCATGATTAGACTGGTGTACCGAGTGTACAAAGTGAACAAATATCGTAGGATTAAAAGTCCTTTCGTGCATGAAAAATGATCAAGCCGAAAGAACAACCTATCCTCTAAACAAGATTACCAAACATATACTTTTCACAATTATTCTAAATTAATAAGAGAAATCGTCGGCACCTTTGCACCTTTCATATCTGAACAGGAAGACCATTTTCTAGAAAAGAAAATCATAATTTCACGCGAGGCTCGAAAAATATCCGCTACAGGATTTTTCCACAGCAACGTGCGTTTTTATATATATAAAAAAAAATAATAATACATTTAAACGATACGACGTTTCTTTACACTCGTTACACCGTGTACGCATTTTTTTTTGTCCTTTTCTTTACTACCTTAGCTTAATTTTATCGGTATTACTGTATTACATACTTTGTTTATAACTAGTATCAATTTCAGCGTGAACGCAGTATATGTGTGTGCGCGGCTTATATATGTACATTTACGTGGTTACTTTTTGCAGGCGCTGCATGTGGATTATTATTTAAACAATAGTGCTCGCCATCGAATAAAGCGACTCTAAGCTCGTCCTTCGAAACGTCTTTCATTGTTATAATTTTATCCCGACGCAGCACGAAATGTTTAATAAGATCGTTCGATTAATAAGGAAAAAATGTGCAGTATCAACTGCGATCAAACACAATTATTGTTATTAAATGCCGCGATACATACGCAATTAACTTGTCCCTAGATCAATTATTTAGAAAAATCGAGAAATAGCTGCAAATTCGTCATAATGTTACTGAATATAGTAGCTACGTGTTATAACCATAAAATGTAGTAATAACTCTATCAGGTGTACTTAAAACGAAGGAATAAACATAGACCTAAGATTTCGTGCGTATACAATTATTTGATACTCAAGTGTCATAAGAAAAGATGCTTAAAAAAATAACGATCTATAGTGCGGTACTATTACACACTTTCTGCGAGATTTCCGTGCCGCGTTACCGTAAAAAATCGATGAAATCGATTCGAAAATGCGACTTTTCATTATCTTTTGACTCCATATGAGGACTTCTTAAGGTAGTTGTTCATGATTTCCATTATGCGTACATGATACATGCGTGCACGTAACTCATGTAAAAGTTTTTTGCATCAACAATATCCATGTAACTCATTTTTGGAAACCATACTATACGATTAAATGATAAAAATAAAGAAATCACCTAGAATCATCATATCAAAATCGCTCAAAAAAGCAACTTTTCGTTATCTTCCGATCCGAAATGAGAACTTAAGATAATTGTTCATGACCTGCATTATGCGTGCATGTTACGTGCATGCACGTAACTCTTGGGGAAGCTTTGCATTATCGATGCCCATGTAACTAATTTTTGGAGATCCTACGACTCGATTCAATTATAAAAATAGTGAAATCACATAAAATCATCATATCAAAATCGCTTAAGAGAGCAACTTTTCGTTACTTTCCGACTCAAAATGAAGACTTCTTAAGGTAGTTGTTCATGTCTTACGTTATGCGTGCATGTTACGTGCATGCACGTAACTCTTGGGGAAGCTTTGCATTATCGATGCCCATGTAACTCATTTTTGGAGATCCTACGACTCGATTTAATGATAAAAATAGTGAAATTACGTAAAATCATCATATCAAAATCGCTTAAAAAAGCAACTTTTTGTTCCTTTACGACTCAAAATGAAGACTTCTTAAGGTACTTGTTCATGACTTGCATTATGCGTGCATGTTACGTGCATGCACGTAACTCATGTAAAAGCTTTTGCATCAATGATGCCTATATAACTGATTTTTGGAAACCCTGCATCTCGATATAATTATAAAAATCAAAAATCATAATGAATCGTTCAAAAAATGCAACTTTTCGTTATTTACCAATCCAAAATTAGGACTTATTAAGGTAGTTGTACATGATTTGCATTATCCGTGCATGTAGCATACACGCATAGGGATGCTTTGCATCAACGATGCCCATGTAATTCATTTTTGAAGACTTCACGATCGGATGGACCAATGTAAAAATAAAAAATCCTACGAAATCATCATAATCGTCATGTGATAATCGCTCCAAAAATGCGGTTACTCGTTATCTTCAGACTTTAAATAAGGACTTAAAGTAGTGTTCATGACCTACACACGTGCACAAGACGTAAAACTCATATGGACGCTTCTACGCTCAAGTGATTCATTTTTGGTTACCCTAGGGCTCGATGTAAAGATAAAAAATTAAAAAAAATGATATCAAATCATGATATCAAAATCGCGCTGAACAAATTATCGGCTTCCAGCTGGGCTGGATGCTCAGCTGGGTCCAGTAGAAAATTATTTACACGGCGATGAAGGAACCCAATTTCCACCCAATAACGTGTCATACCCGTAATGCAGTACGCGATGCGTCCTCGGTACATACATGGAGTGCCGCAATGCCGAGGGTCTATTACATCGCCCGATAAACACGAAGTAGTGGAATACACGTTTAGAAGTAACGCACAATCGTTAACTAATAATCGTAGAAAGATAATATTCCAAGGAAATATGTCGTTCGCAGTCCAATTTCCACACATCCACGTAAAAATACAACGTTAACGTTGCGTCTATTATACGTTCATTAATAATTATAAGTGAGCACGTATTTGACATTCCCATAAAATACATGGAATAAACAAAATTCACAAACATAAGTGTTGCAGTTCGAATGTATAAAAAATCGTTTATATACGTTCACCGTACTTTCAATTAACGTATCCACGTCATCCACGTCAAATTCAACGTTAACGCTGCGTCCATTTTACGTTAATTAATGATTATAAGTGAGCACCCATTTGACGTTCTCATAAAGTACATGGAATAAACAAAATTCACAAACATCTTATAAGTGTTGCAGTTTGAATGTATGAAAAATCGTTTATATACGTTCACTATACTTTCAATTAACGCATCCATGTCATCCGCGTCAAATTCAACGTTAACGTTGCGTCTATTATACGTTCATTAATAATTATACGTGAGCACGTATTTGACATTCCCATAAAGTACATGG